TCTCAATAAGGTAAGTTTATTAATTATCGTTGCGCAAATACAGGTTTGGTTATACAATTATATTGCAATTGACTATCACTATTACCACCCTTTTGACTATTATACAACTCTACTTCTATTTATATTAGCTGAGACGCGTCTACCAATCTAACGTCGCGTCACGCAAATCTCCAACAGACTTCCTAAACTTTCCTCTCCACATTGATGCATGAACTGATGCATCGCGCCACGTCACGTAACCCGCACCGATCCCGTCCCTATACCCGATCCTACTGCTAACAGTAGAGAGATCGGTGATATTATTTGGGTGGTTTAGGTCAAATTCATAAGGATGACCTTTGATTTATGGTGGAAATGCTGGCGTATGCTTCATAGTCCAGCTGACGATTGCAATAAATGGATATTACCACAGCAAAAAACCTTGCACCTAATATTTGTAATAACATTTGTATGCAAAAAATCAAGAGATTACCTGTGATGATTTAGACTTATCACCACTCGAATCAATTCGATGCAACCGAAGGAAAAAATTGCAGACTTAAAAAGTAAAATACTCGTCCCACTGATGATTCATCCCCGGGCAAACATACCAGCCAATATTACATTTCATTAATTACGAGACCAAATTATATACAGTATTGCTTTATGTATACTGAATAATTTTCAAATTTGTTTGGTACCTCAAGAACATCGCGAAAAAAGGTATCTCATAAATTTATTTAAGCCATTAATCAACATTTAATTATTGTTACCTAATTGATTCTTGTCTAAAAAATAAAAAAAATAACTTTAAAAATTTATAAATAAAATAACGCCCTTTTTAATTTAGTTTTTAATATAATTTACGAAAAAAAATTGCGATCATATAATTTTATTTATAATCAAAATAATTTAAATAATAAAAATTTTAGAAATAGCTTTATTAATGTTTAATATACAATAGGTCTATTTAATTATCATAATTATTTAATTGTCTATTATTACATTCATAGTATGCTAGTAAATAGATTCGAACCTGGATATAACGAAGCTATAATAAAATACTTCCAGTATTATAAAGAATATTTTTGAATTCTGAATTTACTCAAAATTCATTATAAAAAGAGAATTTTATTATATGAATTTGAACAATTTTTTTTTTTACTAATTAGCCCAAAGGCTTCATATATCCAGGTTTGACTGCAAATAAATATTAAATAAAATTAAAAGATTTTATTGTTATTTATTATCATAATAAATTATTTTATGAGAACCCAATTTTCAATTTTCAATTATTTATTAATAAAAAAATTCGATACGCTGTATTTTTTATAAAATAATAATAATAAATAATAATTTTAACATCAAGTTCTTTTTATAATTATAAATATTTATATATAAAAAACAATTTAAATCTAATTTTTTATTTAATGAAGAAATTCAACTATAACGGTTATTCTTTTAAAAAGTTGAGTTTATTAATTAATCAAAGACATGAGCTATATTAGAAAAATTGTGATACATATATTTTAATAATGTCAATGTCAATTCTTCTCTACGTCATGCGCAAGTGATAGATGTTTTTTGGTCACACTGCATTAGAAAAATGACGACACTTTAATCGTATTTTTTTTTTGTGACAAAAAAGATTGTCGTGTAAAGTTTCACACCCTTCAACCTCGCATTTATACGCTAAATACTGTTAATAAATAAACAGTATTGTTTAGCTTTCATTGTCATTAAGGTATTAGAATAAACGACTTATTTAGACCTACGCTTTCTCCTGTAAGAGTTATAAATAAGTTTTTTAAGGCATTAAGTTTATTAAGCTTATGTCGGTAAATGGTTAATTATGACGAGGCATTTTAGAAGGTCTTTCCTTCATTATTGATATGATATAATTTATAAATGACAGGTGGGTATAGCGACATATAGAATAAAAGAACTTACAAACCCTTTTATATTTGTGTTATCAATTGTTATATGCACAAACATAATATGATAACATCCAAACGTTTTTTTTACTTTCTTACACATGTAAATACAATTGATATGGCTTCAAGCACTTTTATAATAGTCTCTTGATTTATTATGTAGAAACTTGGTTCGAAAATATTTTGTGAGCGAACTGAAAATTTTTTATAAGACCTTTTGGGAATATTTACAGTATGCGTATCGCAGAGATTATTTCTTTCTTTGGAGAACTATTAACCATTAAAAAGCTTTCTAAAAAATTTATATTATTTAATAAAGAAGAGGATATAATAACATTGTTGGTCGCACTTTAGATAAGTAAGCGAGATGACCCTTCTCTAATTATGACTCTTTCTGTGACGAAGAAGATTGCTATTTGTCGTGTAAGATTTTCCGCATCCTTCGACATGACATACAAAAGCTAAAAAAAGGTGAAATTATTTAACACTTATATATTTCAAAGGCAACAAACATATAATATTTAAAATTATTGAAGACCTACGTCTTTCTCCGGTATGAGAATTATAGTGATTTTTTAACGCGCTCGGAGACTAAAATGATTTTTCACAGAAGGTGCATCCATGTTTAGCAGAAATGATATTTGGGGCTTCGATTTGATAGGATTTCAAAGTTAAAGCCCCCATCGAGTTCATTAAGCTTATGTCGGCTAGATGACCTTTTAGGATAGGTATTTGAAATCACCGATATTGAAAATCCAGCCTTGATTATCAACATAGAAGGTTTCTCCTTGATTATTAGTATGATATAATTTATAGATAAGTTGATTCATGATGGAGATGATTAGGAAAAATTGCAATAAATTGGTTTGAATAGTCTTATTTGAAACTTTGAAATTTGGTGTTTATATATGAATTATAGATCTAAAAATATACGTGATCTAGCGATAACCTTCCACTAAGTTCCCAGCGCTTATACAACCGATTTTACGCGAAAAATCTATTATACTATATGTACTGTACAACTGAATCGCGCAAATCAATAAATGTTATGCCCTTAATGCATCGATTTGTTTGCTTGGTGACGGCCAAATGACTACGACAATCACCAAATATGTATGTTGACATTCAATTTACATGAGTTCGCGTATTTTTTTTTTCTTTTTCTCTTCTTACCTTTACAGTATATAATTAGATGTCCAAATATGCGATGGATACCTGATATTCAAAGAAAAAGTAATAGGATTAGCTATCGATTGAGACAAATTACATTTTGTTACACCGGCAGTTTTCTCGTATAGCCTTTTACTGTATAGAATGTCGAATTTCCAGTCACTTTTTATAATATTGCACATCGATAATTTTGTTTCTGCGGAACCATCAAAATATGGCGCCAATTAGTGCCTGAGTAAACAGAAGTCGAATACCTGACTGTGTCCGGAGATCCCCTTTGTCGTGTGACAAATTAAATTATGTAGTCTCAAACGTTTCACGACCACCTGTTATAGATTACATGTTAAATTGACCTTTATATACCCTGTTCACCATTTCGTCGTCAATACGGTGAGCGAGCTTATCCAAAGTAGTGACTCACTACATATGTGCAAGGTCTATACGATATAGTTCAAAAACATACTTATCGTGTTACTCATACAATCAATTAGGGGAGCTCTAGTAACCCAAAAAATAAAACATGATCATGTGAAGTTCAATACATTTATTCGGCGTGCTTTAATATTTTATGTAGACATTGGTTATTGTTCACTTTGTAGCATTGCTCGTATGCGTTTCTCTATACAAAAAAGGGCTCATCATCCTGTAAGGATCTGCTTAGTCATCTAAGTCACCACCAATAATACCTCTGCATAAATCACGGACCAGTTTTTTTTTATAAGTCAAATGTGTGTGTTGAATAATTACGCATTTTTTTCCCACGGAATAAGTAGTTGCGGAGATTTGAAAATTCAAATATTTTGTAGTTACAGAATGGATTGATTGACAATTCACATAATCTGTAGTTACCGTTACGGAATGGATTGATTGACAATTCACATAATTTGTAGTTACGAAATGGATTTCACATAATTTGTAGTTACGAAATGGATTTCACATAATTTGGATTGTAGTTACGGAATGGATTGATTGACAATTCACATAATTTGTAGTTACAGGATGGATTGATTGACAATTCACATAATTTGTACAGGTCAACTCTCGATAATTATTAGCAACCGAGACGAAGTCACGGGAGCTAGATTATCGCGAGAGATCATGTAACACAGTGAATGATGTAATGTGCTAGTAAACAATATTAAGAATTATATGAGAGTATTACGATGATTGGGCTTTCTTCTGTTGTGACCCGAAAATATTATTTTCCGGCTTATTCGAGTATAGCGACAATATGAGTACAACGATAAAAGAACGTTTAAGAAAAACACCTAACAAACTAAGCGAAGACTTAACACTTAGGCGGAAGGAAGTCAAATGCACACAAATGTCGATTAATACTCTAAGAGCTATTGCGGCCCAACTGGGTGTAAGGAACACAGAAGTAAAGCTGAACTAATCGAAAGAATAACAACAGCATGTCCATCTATAGCGGAACAGGAAGTACATGAGCTGGAGGAGGAACTTGAACATAGCTTATTACAGCAATATCAAGATGGTACTGATCTAGAAGACATAAAAATGCAGGAGAAGACAGGTGATCGGGTGATAGGAAATAATGGACAATTAAAAAGAACAAAATCAGTATCAACATCTGATAATTCACTCTATCAGGGTGATACTGAGCAAATGGATCATAAGAGAAGAAAAATAGAACAACTGGATAGTTTAGAAATGTGAAGCCTATTGGAGAAAATCAAAGAATTAAGGAGGGATATGAGTAACATAAATAGTAAGATGGATGAGATGTTTACAAAAACAAAAATTGAAAATGCATGATCAGAGAGATGATTTGAGAAACCATAAAACCAATATGATTATAATACTTTAAGGTTGATTAAAAAAGATCTGAATCTGGCACTAAATACAGATTCAATGGAGAAAGCATGTTCTTTTATTGAATTATTCAAAAAGAGAACAAAGAACAGAATGTCAATTTTAAGAATGGCAAACAAATATAATTAGGATGTGGCAGTTGAACTTTCTTAGTCAAAGTATAATGATCTGGAAGATAATATGGAGGTAATAAATAATGCATGACAAATAATAGCTAAAAAGAAAAAGGAAAAAGAGAAAATAGTAACTGGTTATTTGAATTAAATAGGAGTAATTCAATATTGAAAAAAGAAAATAAAGATATCACTGAGAATAAATAGTTGGTTAAAAAATGAAATACCATTATTTTCACATGGTTTATTATTCTTAACAAGTTTATTAGTTCAAAAACAATATCAGATGACTTAAGAATAAATAGTTTGGATAAGAAAAGAATTAAGAAATTTGAAATCAACAGATATAAATAAGTAGATTAGATCAGGAAAAGCAAAACTAGTATGTTTGATTAAAGTAAATCCAATATTTGTAATTTCAAAAGCAAACAAATTATATTAATTGGTAGTATATTTAAAAAGATTAAATTAAACTCTATCAGAAAAGCCATTTCATTTTGAAGAGTTAAAAGTATTTTAAGAATAATCAGTTGAAAATAATAGGTCATTACAATAAATTTAAAAGATAATTACTATTATTTGTTAATTAAGAAAAAAACACAAAAATTATTAGGCATAAGATTTAAAGAAATTGATTTAATTATCAAGTACTTTTATTTGGCTTAAGCCAGACAGTATAAATTTGCTTAAAAGTAATAAGAATATTAATTGGATATTAACAATTATTGAAAATTTATTGTGGCATAAAGTAATGTTGAAGTGGTATTATTAAAAGTTTTATTAACAATATATAAATCAAAAACAGCTTATCCCATAGCATCAACTTTAACAATTACTTAATTTAAGTTTGAAAATATAAAATACCTTAGTATTCAGATATTTTCTTATTATATATTAAAATTTAATAGAAAAACCTTTAAAAAAACAACTAACAAAATTAAAAAAAACTTATATATTAGAATTAAAAAGAAAAAATCAAACAAAAAATTATTGAATAAATTGTACTTGAAAAATTTAAGTATTTTTTGCTTATCTCTTATCTTCACAAATATTTTTTTAACAGTTTACAAAGGAAAATTAACAAGTTTATCAAATCTTTATGCAAAATCTTTTTAAAATATTTCAATTTAATTCTAATCTTCATGTTTAAAAGAAGGCAGAAATCATTTCTTATAACTAATTTAATATTTAAATTAGTTACTTTATCAATAAAAAATATTTATATCAAGACATCAAATCAATATTAAAAAAAGAAGCAATATGGTTTTGTTTATTCTGTAATTCAAACAAGTTTAACCAATGCAATTAACTCCTTAGTACAATCCATATAACAAAAAATTTCAAAATACAATTGTATTTTACAATCTGTATTTTTCATAATAACAATATTTCAAATTTTATCAGTTTTCTATTCAGATTTCTTAAAAGCAATCTCAAGATTACAACAATTTGTACTACATATATACTAAATATTAAGTTATTCAATTAATTATTCAAGTTTAATAACTCTATCAAACTTATATAGTTTCAAATTATTTTGCATATAAAGATTACAAAAAACAATTCAGAATCACTTTGGTTTAAAAATTTTATTAATACTCTCTTTCTAAAAGATATTGTCATATATCATATTTATCTCAGAAAAAAGATAAAGATGAAGAACTAGTAGCAAGGAGGCACTTCAGATGGATAGAGCCAATATAGTATGTTAAAGTTTCTAAAGGTGTACAAATTAGAACAGTTCTGAGGTGTATGAGATCAGACGAAAGAAGCAATGGTGATTTTTTTGTAAAAGTCAAGATATTTATTTGATAAAATATATGTTCAAGCCTGCCAATTCCTGGGTGAAATTGGAGCTTTTATATACATGTTTAAATTATAATATTTTGTACAGAATAAAGATATACTATGGTAAAATATAAACTAATATATAGATACTATCTTTATTAGAATATTTAATTGTGTTAACATTTACATAAATAAATATTTTGATGAAGATAATATAGCAAGTGAAGATAAAATAAAATAAAAATATTCCAGAAATGATAAAGGTGCAATAAATATACTAGATGCTAAAAGTGCAGTAACAGATCTGTAATACAAAACTATTCTAGAACAGCTAACATTTCAAGTGTTAATGTTAGTAAAATCAAACAAGAAGTATTGAAGATCTTGGACAAAAATCAAATGTAACAATTCTCTCCTACTAATCTGTAAGTTCTACAAATTTAATCTTGTGTGACAATTGTCTAATTAGGTAAAGAGTAGTGAATCAGGTCCTATAAATTTGATGAATTCCAATTTTGCTAAAAAGATAATATATGTATGTAGAAGCTGTAGAATAATATTTGGTAATCTGTGAATTTAAGTAGAATCTTTATATTAGGTTAAGAGTTGTTTCCAATAATTCTTCAAGATAGTAAGCATACACAAGAACCATAATTATGTTTCTTTTTTGAAATACCCTTTGTAACTTCTGATAGGTGTTCAAAAGTTGTATTTCGATATTCTGCAGAAGATTATAAGGAGCTGATGCAACATCTACATCTTCAGAAGTATTTTGTAAAGATCTTTGATTAAACAGTATAAGTAGCCATAGAATTATTAATTGCATATTGGAAATATTCAAATTTGAAAAAGAAACATGTTATTTGAGACAGCTGTTTTTTTTATAGATTTTCATAAATATTTTTAAAGTTCCATAATATTGTGTACTTAAAGTCTTCTTGAAAATCGTTTGGCAGGTAATCTTCAATCCAAAATTCTTTTAAAAATGCCAAGAGAAAACCGCTTGTCAAAAAATGCTTGCCTAACTTGCTTTGGTCTCAGGGATCTATCTTAGGAAACAATTGTTTTGCTTCAAGAAAGAGTCAGAGTCTTGAGGCATCAAGTTTGTTAAAAAGAGAGATTCAGGGCTTTAGAACCAGAGATGAAAAGATTGAGAAGAGAATTGGAGATATTTCGGGATACTTGCTTCCTTTACAATCTCAATAAGGTGTTAAAGTTGAAAAACTTAAACTTAAGAAACAGAGTATCTTGTCTGGAAGGTCTTCTTCGCCTATTGGGAAATCCTGCACCTGCTCCCTTTGACAGGTCCTTTTCTTCTTTCTCATTTAACTAAAGGTTTGTTTTTTATTTTATTTTTCTTATATTTTCTTCTTCGAAGTTCATGGATTTATTGTGAAAGATGCAGTAGTTACTAAGTATGCTTTGTGGACCAGCTGTAATAAACAGGAAATACTCTGTGGGCCACTTTTATTACATTGCATCTTTCATTTGTTTCTCTAGTTTCTTTAGGTCTTCTTTTTGTTCAAGAGTTTAATGATACTTGTACTGAGTTTGATACAAGTGGAGGACTAGGTTATTTAAGCATTTGTATTTACATTATATAACCTGAGTACTGAACTCTTCAGTAGCTAAAGGATGCTTCTTCCTATATATATATGTTAGGTTCCCATGCTGATCAATCAAAATATGGTTTCAAGAAAAAGAGATTAATAAGAGTGGCAAAAACTTTTCCTTCCATTATTCTAAGTTTGAAGATATTATTGAGCAAGACGTTATAAATGTAAAAGAGTCCTTTCCATTTTGATTTCAGTTTTCCTGTAAAGTGTTTGTTTCTGGCAGCATTATACATTAGCACTTTATTCCCAATTTTGAATTTCTTGTACTTTGTTACTTTTTGATCAAACCTTTGTTTTTGTCTCTGTTGTTTCTTATAAATATTTCTTCTTGCTTATTCTTGTTATTGTGGAAATTTTTCTAATAAAATATATAATTGGTTAAGAATTTTTGGTTGCAATATTTCATTCATGTTTGTTATGGGAATTTGAGGTTTTTGTCTATAAAGTAAGTAAAATGGTGTGATTTTCATAAAAGATTATTTTGATGTTCTGTAAGCAAAAAGTACTGATGAAATATGTTGGTTTCAATCTTCTTTGCCTTCAGTTATCTTTGCAAGTGACTCATATTAAGTTCTGTTAAATTATTCAACCAATCTATTAGTTTGAGAATAGTATGACATAGATAATAAATGTCTTATCTCAAATTGCTTGAGTAATCCATCTATTATTTCATTTCGAAAATGAGTTTTTCTATTAGACAAGATTTGTTTTGAACATTTATGTCTACAGATGATAACTTGATAAATGAATTCTGCTACAGTTTTTCCAGTAGCTTTAAAGATTGTTTTTGCTTCAAGCTATTTGATAAAGTAATCTATTGCAACAATAATATACTTGTTTTTATGTTTGATCATTGATAAAGGTTCTACAATGTCTATACTGATTCTGGAAAATGGTTTTCTAACAGGAATAAGATGCAAGAGTCCTAGTGTTCTGTATCTTCCATGTTTTTGGCATTGGTCACATGATTGAATATAGTCTTTAATATTTTTGAACATCTGAGGCCAGTAGTATTGATCATGAATTTTCTTAAAGATTTTGTCAATTTCCAAGAGATAATTATATATCAAATAAAGTATTGCTTTGATTTCATGTTTCTGAATAACTTTGAATAGTTGGTTTCAGATTTTTCTTCTTTTGTCTTTCTTGTAAAGTTGGTTGTTTTTGATTTCAAAAATTTGCTTTGTGATTGTAAATGTTTTTGTTGATTGTTATCTATGTTTGTTAGCAGTTTGTTGTTAAAAATATAATTTTTCAAT